TGGGGAAAATATCCAATTTTCATCGCAAAATTAGCTAGGGCGAGAGCAAAGGGCTGAGCTAATTGTAGCCTAATCCTCTGCCCTGCAGGCGTTTGCAAAGCCCTGAGCAAGAATTCGCTTTTTTTCCTCCTCTTCTCCCTTCCCTCTGTTATTTAGAGACGGGATTATTGCCTTTCTTCTCATAACAGCCTCGGCAGTTTCATTTAAAGGTTTTTTTTCCCCCTCACACACACACACATCCACAGACACACAAAATAAATAGAAAAAGCAGCAGCAAAAACGGGGGGAGAGGAGAGACTGAGGAGCTTTAAAAATAATAATAATAATAATAATAATAATAATCACAGCAGGATCTGCGGAGCAAAGACAGTAATAAAAGCAAAAAGCTGAGCCCATCACACACAAACCCAACAGAGCCCAAAGCCAAAGGGGGGCTTGCACATCTCTTCCGTGCTCAAGGTAAGGAACGCGGCGGCGGCTCCGAGGCTGCCCGGGCCGGAGCGCGCAGTGCACGCCGTGTCGTGCATCGCCTTGCATCGCGGCGCACTGCGCTCTCGCCTTCTCCCGCTTCCCCCTCCTCCTTTTTATTTAATTTTTTTTTTTTTTTGGAAAGTGCCTCTTCAAACTAACTCGGGTCTTGGCTCCGCAGGAGAAGCGGCAGAGGGGCGGTTTTTTTTGTTGTTTTTTTTTTTGTTTTTTTTTTTTTTAAAGCTACAGGACCCGTTTGCAGCCGCTCCGCTTTGATAGCGCCGTGTCTCCGTCTGTGTGTGTATGTTTTGTTTTGCTCCGCTCCAGCATGGGCAGCGCCGGCGGAGCCCCGCGGCCCGGGGTGCCCGCGCTGCCGTCCCGGCCCCGGCTCTGAAGACGACGGCCAAGCCCCAGCGCGGCGGAGGCAGCACGGTTCGCTCCGCGCTCTCGCATGGTACAGCGGAGCCGCGGGGGTCGGCCGGGCGGTGCGCAGGGCAGCGCGGAGCGGGGAGCGGGGGCTGGCGACGGGGCGGCTCGGCACAAAGGGAAGGCGGGCGACAATGGGGAGCGGCGCGTATGGAAAAGACGGGCGGGCTGTGAATGAAACTCTGGCGCCAGTGAGAGTGGAAGGCTTGGTCTGGGGTAGACTTCAAACCACTCTAGGCTATAGTTTGCATTTCTGCTCCTGCATGCGATGTGGCACACTTCTGCAAAATTAATACATTAGCCTGGCTAATGCTCACCACCATTGGCTGCGCGGAAAATGTGCAGGAGCGGGGATTCGGGGCTGGCTTTTTGGTGGTTTTCTTTTTCTTTTTTTTTCCCCCTTTCCCTTGCATTCATCTAAGACATCTCCTCTCTTGTTATATGGGAATAAGTAAAGGACGCCATGTTGTGCCTTTTTTTTTTTTTGGTTGAATTTTACCTTTGGGCACACAGTGTGTTTAAAAAGAGAAACGAAGAAGTTGAGTGACCGGGTGCGTTGCTTGCTGGTGATTTCCCTGGACATCACGCCTGGAAAGGCGTTTGGGTGACGTGAAACTTGCACTAAATAGGCTGGAGATAGGCGGGTTGGGAAGGGGGGAAGCCTCTTTTTTTTAAAGGTTTTTTTTTTTTTCCGGCAGATTTCCTGAGGGAGCTGCCCCCGCCGCCCCCCCCCCCCCCCCCCCCCCCCCGTAAAAGTTTTGGGCACCATATCCTCTGTCACTCGGTCCAGTGTTGAGGAAAACAGCGAGGAGGTGTGGAGGTGTGCGCACAAACCTTCACTGACTTTTAGTGTTGGAGCCTTGGAGCCCGTGGCTTGCAGACCCCCACCCCCTTCCCCTTCCTCCCCCCCCCCCCCCCCCCGCACCGCTTTGTCTGTAGGCCCGGTTCACGGCGTGAGCGTTTGTCTCGGGGTGGCTCCAGAGGCAGACCCGAGTGGTCGCCCTCCCTGGGTGTGTAGAGACAAAGGTAATTGCCGGGTCTGCAGACGCCGTGTCCCTCCAGTCGCGCCAGCGCTGCCATGCGGGTGACTTCTGCAGCCGGTCACCGCCCCGGGGTGCTGGGCTGCGTGGGGAGGCTACCCCGGAGCTCTTCAGGGCCTGTTGGCATGGGAATGGAGGTCTCGAGGGGCAGAGGGGGAGGACAGCTCCCTCCCCTTCCTCTTTCCTGACTTCGGCCTGGGAGCAGTCCCGGGGAGCGTGAGCCGGGGCTCTGCAGAAGCTGGACCGGGCCCTGGCCCCCCGGGGGAAAGGGCTGCCTCATGGCAGGTCCTTAAACCTGCCGTTCTCAGCTAACGTCCTAAATGTGCATGAAGGAATTAAACTGCGCGAGTGAATAACAGCATTAGTTTCAATTAATTTTTTATCCTGGCAACAATAAACTTTAGAAACAAAGCGCTTTTACATCCTTAATTAGTCTTGCTTCCCATCTGTAGTCTTTTAAGTGCCTGCTTCTTGATTTAACTTTGTCCCTCCTTCCGAGCCGCCTCCTTTTTCATTCTTCTCCCTTTTTTTCTCTTTGCCCCTTCCAGCCTGCTGCCGGTTTCTACCCTGCAACCTTTCACCTCCCTTGTCCCTCTATGTCTGCTCTGCACGGTTTATTCCTGCTGTATTTTCCCAACATCCAACAGCAGTATTGGTTACCATGGCCCCGAGCTATGTGCAGAGGTGGGAAAGCTTCATCCGCCCAAAAGTTCTTACACTTTTGAAGTCTTTCTTTTAGTAGGATCTGAAATGTATCATCTAGAGTGTGTATTAAATGAACAGTATTCCTAAAGGCTTTAGAGCAAGAAAGGCAACACCCTGGAAAATTCTGCAGTCTTTCAGCATTCTCTGCCCTAGGGTTATAGCCCTGGGCACGGAGCTGAATGGAGCTCTTACAACTGCCTTCTGTTTACCTTTTATGGTTAAAATAACAGCTTAGCAAAGAAGCAACTTCATGGAGAAACGATTCAGTGAAATCATCTCAAGCTGTAGCAGCATAGCTAGTTTAATCACCCCTAGAGAGCTGAACAACTGTGAGCACAATGGGACACAAAATCATTTTGTGTGTAAATGAGCATGGCATTGTGATTATTTCACTTTGCATGGGCAAATAGTTTTTACAAGCAGTACTTATGCAGTTAGCTTAGAAAGGCAGAAAAAGATAAGCTGGCTCTGAAAGATCTTGGTGTGTAATGTTGGAAAAACTAAATATTCACATAATTTGGGAATCAGGCTCTATTGATTTTGCCTTCAGCAGGTTTCTGTGTTACTTATTAGAGCAGGGTTATTGCCTATGCCACCAGTTGGGATGCTGTATGCTGTTGTAGGCGACTTAGGAGCAAGGATTATTTTACATGGTTTAATAAATGAAGTTTGTTAGTGTTTCTGTGATATTTACCCTTAAGGTTTTAATTTTCACATCAGTATTAGAGAATACGTGCATAAAGACTTTTGCTGGATAAATACATTTAGGATTTTGCTTTGTGCATAAAGTAAGTACATTACTCAGTGTGATGAATTTTAGCTGCATTTCGCATTAAGAAGAGAAAGGAGTCATTAGAAATAGGGTTACGATACCTTGAGAAATAGGGATTTAATTTTTTTTTTGAGCAATAAGAGTGTTTTCAGAGCCCTTCTTGTGATGCTTAGCAGTTATGCCCCTGATAATTTGCTCATACGAAAATGATTGAATTCCACAACTTTAATAAAAACATAGGATTCATTTTTTTAATATGAATCCTCTCCAACCAGGGGAAAAGCCTTTACTTTAATTCCCCTTCTCCTCCTCTCCCCCAGAAAGCCAGTGGCACCTTCAGTAAGTACGAAAAGCCATAAAAGTTTGAGAACTATTTTAGCTTTCCAGTGATTTTCTATAATTAAGTGTTTTTTCAACACATGCTCTAGCTGAGAGATGCCAAAAGCAGAGGATTGTTCAAAAGGTCCCTCCAGTGAATAGTATAAATTAAATATCTACTGTGTGAGTATGGCCTCACTGAGAATCTCAGACTCTCTACAGATCAAGGAATTTACTGGTACACTAACATTAAACACAATCCTAAGATAGCAGCGGTGTTTAAATATGCACAAATAGATTCAGATCACTTGATCTTTAGCTATCTGTGCATATTTTAAAATTGAAGTCTGTGTTTCAAGACAAATGGTTAAATGTAAGACATGTTTTACAGAAGACTGGAAGTCCTTTGATTTCGTTTGGAAATTGTAACAAGGGGTGCATATAAGCCCTAATTAGGCACTTGTTTTGTGAAACTGCATGAGATATATTTCTAAGGCAGCTCTGTACCATGCACCTTTATCATTAGTGATAATGGTTAGGGTCTGAAGAAAGACAGGGTTGACATTTAGCCTGGATCTTCTGACCCTTTCATTTAAGTGAAGGAGTAGAGAGTGAACATGAGTTTGCAGTGCTCTTTGGTAAGGAAAAAAAAAAAAACCAACCAAAAACCTTTGTCTGTGTTGGCAGACAGATGAGGCACCCACAGATTAGTAAACACATTGCTAAAATACTGCAGGTACTTACACACCAAGTTGTTCTTAAAAGTTAGTTCTGTTATTTATGCTCTATGACATATTGAAGATTGCCCACAACAGGCTCTTGTGGGAAACAAGAAAGCAACATCTTCAGCCATGAAAGGATTCAATCACTTTCCTTGAAGGTGGTGCTGTAGTAAAAATGTTAATGCCCAACTTTGCATCGGCTGACACAGAAGTCCTAAAGACAGAGTTGGTATTTGCTTCGTGTTCAGTGCAGATGTCCGTCCAGCCTCTGAAGAGGAAAGGATGTGGATTCATAATGGGGTGATGTATTTCTGTGCTGTAGATTCAGGAAATTCTCAGGAGCTAACCAAGATGGAATACAGTAAATGGAGATGGTGCAGTGACTTTGTGAAGCTGTCCAGATGTATTAACGTTTCTCATTCCCTTTCTATACAGCTTAGATGTTTTGTTTTGTTTTACAAAGAATTTTTGCTGATTGCATGTTCATCAAGTGGGTTAGGCAGGCATCTTGTGCAAAATACTGCTAAGAGAAAGGCAAGACCAGCTTTAGATTTCTAAGAAAGACTGTCAAAGTAATGCGGGAGAAATGGGAATTCACTTTGCCATGCTGCATGTAAAGTGCTTGTCAGATACAAGGAAGAGCCTGAGTGCTTGGTAGCATGCTTGCAGAACAAAATACCAAGAAAATTAGATTATATTCAGAAATGTCTTCAACTGTAATGTTTTGCGTATGTTGCTTTACCCATAAGGGGGAGAATGGATGGATATTTTCTTAAACTTTTATAAAAGGGTTTTTTTCTGTTTGACACGTATGCTGTTTGTACTGATTTAACTGAAATCAGCTTTGAGACACACGTTTCATGCCGAATAAGCTGTGTTTTTCTTCCAGAAGAGAATTGAGGAATTTTCTTTTGCAATGGTTGTCCTGTTCATTTTTAAGACATTTCAGTATTTTGTGGTGTTTTTTTTGCCTTGTACATCAGCTGAGGATTTTTGGACTCAATTCAGAAATTTCACCAATTTTCAAGTATTTTCAGGGTAGTAAGCGTTAGGTGGATTGTTGAATTTGTAATTTCACATGCCAGATTGTACAGTACTTTTTCACGTGTCTTGCCATGAAAGCATGTGTCAGTTTACTTACCTTCCTGTTTTCACTGCTTCCAGGTATTAATTGCTTTCGGTTTGAAAGCTTATTAGTTCTTTATGTCTGATATTAAGGCTTAACTGAAAATCATACATTTATTTCACCATTATTGAAAGTAAACCAGAAAATTGATCTTAGTTTGATGTGAAATTTACTACATGTATAAACTAAATGCCTTAGGTACTGAGGAAGTCACTAATTTAGAGGTGTCTTGTTACTGAGACAAACTTGCAAAAACGCCTGAATCCCGATTCACAAATTGGTTATTCGTATGTCAGGGGATATTTCACATCTAACACATAAGCCCGCGACCTTTAATTAGAATTTTGCAGTTTGTTTTATGCCCCTTGAGGCTGACACCTTGAAAATTTTTTTTCTTGATTTCTTATTGCTAATAAGCATCTTTCTCTTCCCCTCTGGTACTTTGAAGAAAATGATGCAAATACACTTAATTACAGTGGTGGCAATAATTTGTTAACTGAATATGTGATCAGGCAGATGCAAAAATGATCTGATTAGATCTGTGATCACACTGGAAAGAAAGGTAACACACTGGTAGATTTAAGAGAAACTGTTCTTTTTTTCTTTCCTTTTGCAGGAGGGAAGAAGCATGTCCCGTCTGTCTCTAACACGGTCCCCGGTTTCTCCTCTGGCTGCGCAAGGAATTCCTCTCCCAGCGCAACTCACCAAGTCAAATGCTCCTGTGCATATCGATGTAGGAGGACACATGTACACCAGCAGCCTGGCTACCTTGACGAAGTACCCAGATTCCAGGTAAGACCTTGGTGTTTTCAGACTCGTTGCCCATTTCTGTTCATTGCATGGAGAGAGGCATGTACCTGTGAGGAATATTTCAATGAGAAATACGATTTATTCACCACTTATAAATAATTTAGTTTCTGATTTATACAGTAACTTCACTGGGCTTCTACAGAAAAAAAAGCCTGTAAAATTTATGTATTATTTAGAGAGTCTATTCATTCTCTCTCTTAATGTCTTCTGCACTCTGCCGTTGTGTTTGAAACACCTGTTGGTGTGCTGCTCTAGATTATTTCCAACTGTACCAGGAAACATCTTTCTTTCATATTTTAGAGGGGGGAAATCCTTTTCTCCTTCCTTAAGAAAACTGTATAGCTTTGTTATACTGGGACTCAGGAATGCTTCTGTTGGCTAGCCAAAATCCTAACGCCAGTGGTAGCTGTATGGCTCACTGTCAGTGGTCATTTCCTGTGCGTAGTGGCCACACAGCTGACCCACTCTGTCTGCTCTTAGCTGCAGACAGGATTGAATCTTTGCGTGCTTAAAGGTAGTTGATTTGTGCTGGACAGGTTGGTGACATATCTGGCAAGATTTATTTAGATCTGGCCAACATTATCATAGATTACACTCCATATATGCCCAATTACGAATAGGTGCGGCATGAAAGTATGTTTGTGTGTGCTCCCAGTCCCACTGGGTATGTGAAGGGTGGGGGATCCTGGACAGTATCAGCTCTGTGCTGATAGTGTGGAAGAAACTGCTGTGTTAATGGCTAAAGCACAGTCATTGGAGCAGTGTATTAAGACCTACCTGATTTTGATTTACAGTTATGATCACTAAACTAGTTGAGCTCTTCATCATTCAGACTGCTTGTTCTTCAGAAAGGCAAGTGCCTCGTATGTAACCAAGAGAAGGTGTGGATGTGCAGTGTCAGGGTGCCCAGCAGACTGGTTAAAGGAGGCACTCTTGACTCCAAACCAGAGCCCAGGTCAGCAGGTTTCATCGCCAGAGGTTTTGCTACCTGCATGGCCTTTTCATAAAGGACAGGTTTGGGTTGTTTTTTTTGTCTTTTTGTTTTGTTTTGTTTTGTTTTGTTTTCTATGACAGCCAGTGTGAAGCTCTAGTTTCATTTGAAGATTTTTCCTTTAAAAGAATGAGGTATTTTTGCAGATTTGGCAGGTTCCCAAGCAATAAATGACATTTATGGACACACCTTGAAATGCCTCTGATGTCATAAAGCATATGGCTGTGATTTCATTCTAAGGAATGGGAGTTGCTGAAATTCTGCATGGAAAAGAAACAATTACTGAAATACCTATATTTTATGATCAGGCCAAACAATATGATTTTTCTGGACAATGCCTGTTTAGTGATGCCTGTGTAGTACTGCTTTAATCATAGAGAAGAAATCTGTTCAGTGGGGAGAGATTTATAGCAGAGAAGCAGACAAATACTTCATAATATAAAAAAATACAGGGAAGATTCAGTAGTTGTAATAAAGTAGCACATCTGTTTCCACATTTTAAAATATCACTGCTGACAGCATTTTTAAAATATGCCCTATATCAGACTTAATGAAAACTTCAGTTATGGAAGCTTTGGGAAAATATATATAAATTCACAGATTTTATTTAAATAGTATAGGGTATTGATCTAAAACCTCCCGTTTGTAGTAACAAGAGTATTTCTTAAGATTTTGTACTATGTTAAAACTGAAAGTACAAAATCGTGACCAGAGCTAGTGTGCTGCCTGATATTTTGCTGTTTACTGTCTTTTGTTTCCATTGCTGTGTTATCTAATGAGGGTTGAATGCTTTTTCAGCTGCTCAAAAGCTGTTTTTTTCTGGAGTAAAAGCTTACAGGATGAAATCTTCAGATGACAATTTTATCCAGCATCCCAAGTAGGAATATTGCTAGATACATTATGAAGTTATTACGAAGGGTGCACCTTAATCTGTTTCCTCCCCCTCCCCCCTTAATTTATTTATGTGAAATCTGTTTCTCTGCAGTGCTGCATAGTAGACTTGGTTGGTTACCCCCCATTAAGTCTGGCCTGCTCTCATTCCTGTTTCAGGCAGAGTACTTGCATTGATTTCAGTGGGGATGGTTGAAGCTCCTGATGGTGCTTTGCTGCCATGGTGTGTATCTTCCATAAGGCACAGACTTATCTTCACAGGTCTTGCTGGGAGAGGAATCCCAGGTCTGTCGCAGGTGCAGGAGGAAAGCAATAGCTCTTCTGAGCAAGACATCTGGGTTAAAACTTAAACAGGGGAAGTTTAGATTGGATATAAGGAGGAAATTCTTTCCTGTTAGGGTGCTGAGGCACTGGAATAGGTTGACCAGGGAGGTTGTGAATGCTCCATCCCTGGCAGTGTTCAAGACCAGGTTGGATGAGGCCTTGGGTGATACGGTTTAGCGTGAGGTGTCCCTGCCCATGGCAGGGGGCTTGGAACTTGATGATCTTAACGTCCTTTCCAATCCTAAGTATTCTATGATTCTAATTAATGGCCGAGTACTGTTAGCTTGTGGTCAGTGATAACATGCATGGCCACAGACAGAGGTGTGACCATACTCATCCCACGCAGAGCTTCCTGGGTTACTTTGGTTAGCGTATTAAACTCTCGGTTTAAGGGTGAGTTTAAAACTCCAAATCTAAGAAATTATATTCGTACATTGTATTTCAGCAAAAGATGTAAGCTGATACTCTGAAGTGCTTTGCTAAATCGTAGCCCCAGTCACATGTAGTTTGTACCCACTAAAACTGGATGCTGTGGAAATAACGCTTCCTGTTTATTTCTGTTACAATGTCTATTTATCAGTGCTCCAAAATCCTAAGTAGGCTTTTACCTTGTAGCATGTACTGTACATGAATGTTAAAGGACACATACAGATTGTGAGCATGTGTATAAATACAGTTAGGGTGTGCATACACAGAGACATCACATGCTAATGGAAAACAGAAGAAAATAAATCGTCAAATCATGTTTATACTCCATAGTATTTTGAGGAGGTCCAGTCATGTGAAGTCCTGAATAAACTCAGTTTGCTTTGACTTTGAAGAGACAGAAGAGCTCCCAACAGCTTGCCAGATCAGACCCAGCGGGAGCAAGTATAGGTATGACCAGTTCCTGCCTATGCCTGCTCTCCAGTCACCCCTCTGGTATGATATAAATTACAGCTGACGGCAGTCAGCGTGGTAGATTTCTTACTGTAATTTGTTAGGATTGACTGTGCTTAGCCCACTCAGCTGGCTCTGCCTGGCTGTTCCCAAGTTAGGTGGTTGGCTCTAATTTGGAGAAAGGACCTGATTCTGGAAGTCGTACGTGAGTGAGTGAATGGCTGGTGATATGAAGTCAGAGGCAAGTTCTTGCATTTCAGTGATTCCAGAGTTGTTTCAGAGCAACTTTGACAGCCTTTGGTGTTGTTTGTATTAGTGCAGCTGCTGAGAGAAAAGCTTTTGTCCATTAATTAGATTTGCATAAGTGAAGGGTGCCAGATGAGGCATTAAGAGGGGCAGAGGCCCTCTTTCTAGTAATTTTTTATAGGCTACATAAATACACCTAAGAAGGGGGAAACTTGAGCAGTGCCCAACTGGTGTGACAAAGAAGAGGGTTAGACAGCCAGCACCAAAGATGGTTTCTAAACCACTTATGCTCATCTTATGCACTGCTCTTACACGTCTCATCAGTTGGCTTTTTGAATGAAACACAAGAAAGAGGGTGAAAGGCAAGAAAAATGAAAAGCATAGAAGAAATTATGATCAACAACAGCATAATGATGGTGGTCACAGAAATTACTTAAGAAACAATATTAATCCCTCTTTAGCTACTTGAAGCTGTTTTTTGTGCATACCCAAAATAGCCATTAAAGTTAACAAGCTTTGGAGGCACATGGGAGCTGATGTTGTCTTAAGAGAATCTGAGGCTTGGTTTCAATAGTTTACTGGTATAGCAAGTTTTTCCACCAAAACTCCTAATTCTGGTAGTTTTGAGTTACAGGTACAAAGAAAAATCCACTGTTGAATTTAGTCTAGTGACTCTTACCATCAGCATCTTATTTCTGGAGTAACTGGATAAGTAGACAAATTTTTCATCCTTGAGAGCATTTTCTCTAGAAATTCCATTCATGTTTTCACCCAGAGGACCTCTAAAGTATCCCCTTCACACATTGACACTTGAATGTGGATTTATATGACAGATTGTAAAGGCTGCAAAACCTCTAGCACATCTATGAAGCAAGTTGCAAAGTGTATTTATCCAAGGGAGTGAGACAATTATTACATTTAAAAAACCAACCCACACCAAAAGCCAAGCTCCTAACATGCAGTCAAGAATACCCAAAGACATTACTAGATCCTTCAGTCTTACTGAACTCGATGGCAGACTTGCAGTCTAACACAGCAAGCCCCAGCTTCTCAATTTCACTGGAAATTTCGATATCACTTTGAATTCCTATTAGAAAGCAGAACAAGATTTTTCATTAGAAGCCTGTCCTTTTTGCAGCCCTTAATAGTGTTTTTAACTCAGAGAATTGCTGTGAGCTCTTTGTCAGTTTTTCTGGTATAAAAGGTGAATGTATTTACCTTACATTCTTGGTGAATTAGTATTTGTTGCATAACCCTCTATTAAAGATAAGTATGTTCTTTTGTTCAAAATGTATTTATAAAACTCATAGTTTTTATGGCATTAGTTATGACAAAAGCAAGCAGGAATAAGACATAGTAGAGTTTTCCAGGCGTACCCCTGCCTCTGAACCCATGGACTTCTTTGGTCAAAAGGAGTCTCCTAAAGCACATCTTCTCCTCTTGAGTGTTTCTTGTCAAACTGTCGTTCCTGTATAGACCCACTCTCGGATAAGCTCTCCTGCCAAGGATGACCTTGTGATTCCAGATGCTCTGTAGGAATCTGCGAGGTTTAATTCTCCTGCTTTTACCTTCAGTTCCTCCATCTTTCTGGTTGCTGTAGCTCAGCATTGACACCTGAGATCTGCTTTTCCCCTGTTCTGCAGCCACACTG